CACATTACGATAAGTGTTATGACAATGTTGTCCTAAAGAGTACCCTACAGGTACCTAATGCCTTTGGCATGCCAACTCATTCCTATGCTAAGCCAGGCTGCAAATGTTTGACAAGTGTCTTTTTTCAAGTGATAACGCCCAGATCGGGTAAAGAACAATTGACTGCAATATGCGGCAGCTTTGAAATGTACCGGCTGGCCCAAATAAAAGTTAGCACATGTTTTCCCCAACAATGGCAAGTGTATTTGTCACACATTCGTGGCTGCGTCAGTTCTATTGCAATCCGCCCACTCTAATCTTTCCGCAAAAAGACGGCTCATAGTAACTTCAAATGGACAGTCACTCCTCCGCAGAAAAATAATTTTGAATCTACGAAACATTAAATGGTTCGTGTTTAATTTTAATGCCGAGGGTGCAAAATCAAGTAGTCGAAATGTGAGGAGAAATCAGGTTGTGGGGGTAAGTTAGGCCTACCTTTTGGCTAAGCCCGCCACCGATTTTAGAAAGTCGCACCCTTATCATAACAGCCGAACACGGAAGAGCGCCCTGGCTTTGACGCCTTGCATGAAAGGGGACACAGGCGACTACTCTCGCATGCGCCGTACAGTCAATGGGTTCGGCGGGTTCGGTTTAAATGGCCCGCGTGGCCGGGCCATTTAAACCGAGCCCGCCTGCTCCTACGGCCAGAGGTGCCGGCGGCCGCACGTCTCCGCGCCTCCCGGACTGAACCATGCGCAACGCGCCCCGAAACTCTCAGGGTGACGATCTGCTGTGAACACCCTGCTATCCTTTATCCACGCCCCTGAAAATTGTACTCTCGTCATTGGCTGGAACGGACGCGAACAACACAGGCGCCCACGGCGGCAGGCGGCGGGCCGTGGTGCCACCCGTTGTGAATCCCGTTTTTCCATGAGTCCTGCTCCAAGCTCCACTTGTCTCGTCCCCCGGTCCTCACTTCCCCTCCTGATTACGAGACCTCGGAACCTGGTTCCGGGTGTTTCTCGCATAAACCCTGGCTACCGGATCGCATCGGCTGTTTGACAAACACTGCGTTCTGGTCTCTGGTCATGACTGGTACTTCAACGGATAGAACGATGAGTTCCTGGTTGGAAAGCTCGTCTGCAGAATCAAGTGAATTTGCTCTGAAATCGTCAGGGACAAGCCGACCCCGGGCGTGGATTTAAGGCAAATTCCGTCGCATCAACAGTGGAAAGCATGCAAGGATGGACCATTCATTTTGCCAGGATGAAAGGCCAACTCGCCGCTGAGCGGCCAAGCTAAATTCAAGGCAGCCGTAAGGGGGCGTGGGTACACTGCGCGGGAAGGGCTGTGAAGTCATTGCCTTCAGAATTCATCCCCACGGAATTTACTGATCCCTAGTAAAACAAACACAGAAATGTAGGCTTCCACCCTCCCATTATTTCGCCGTTATGACCACAAGGCTCAAGCTTTTTTGCTGGAATATGGTTGTGGCTAACCTTGGTCAACGTTCTTGTTCGGGTATGTAATACGATGGTCTCAAGAGGCGTGCAATATAGACATATCCATAATGCATATGTTATATACATATATATAACAATATTTATGCATCCTATATATTCTATATATATATAATCTAAGATATATATATATATGTGTGTGTGTGTGTGCTGTGTGTGTGTGTGTGTTGTGTGTGTGTGGTGTGTGTGTGAGTGTGTGTGTGTGTGTGTGTGTGTGGTGTGTGTGTGTGTTGTGGTGTGGTGTGTGTGTGTGTGTAGTGTTGTGTGATAGAGATGTGTGTGTGTGTGTGTGTTGTGTGTGTGTGTGTGTGTGTGTGTTGTGTGTTGTGGTGTGTGGTTTGTTTGTGTGTGTGTGTGTGTGTGTTGTGTGTGTGTGTGTGTGTGTGGTGTGTGTTGTGTGTGTGTACCCCTTTTATGGTCTCCATAGGCATAGTGGTGCAGCCTACGTTTTGCCGCAGGAACAAAACTCGTCCATCTCCTTCGTTTTCCATACGCCCGATCCATACTGTGACAGAACTTGCTCAGCCTTCATTGCTCAGTCAGTTTGTGCGACACCCACCAGGCGCAAATTTTACGATAAAAAACCTCATTGATTTCATTCTGCCCAGCTTGGCGACGCCGAAATGCAGTCCACCTCCGAACGTCGGTCACCCTCAACTAGCCGAAAGGTCGATGCGTCGCCTGTGCCTCGTCAGCCACGCCTCCTAAGAACGCCATCAGTCAGTTAAGGGTACGGGAATTGAGCCCGAACCGATAGCTTACCTGGTTTCCGATCCACCCATCGGTGGCGGGGTCGGGCTGAGTCGCTTTAGGTGACCGCTGTTTGCACTTGATGCAGATGGCGGCATCAAAGGTCAGGTGACATCAGAGGGTGGGACGGACCGCGCCGAGCATTGCGGCCGCTGACCCGGCATCTCACGACCAGGCGGCAGATGTCAGGGTCCACGTGACAAGACGGCAGATGTCAGGGTTCACGTGACAAGCACAGTCAGCACTGCGTCGCTGACGCCAAACATCCTCCCGGTCAAAAGGTTCGGGCTAAAAAGAGAAGGCTGCAATCGCTACGAATCTCAGTACACAACTGCGATAGCTGTTTTTGGGTGAGATATGTACAAGTCCACATGGAACAGTACAGAAATGTTTCAGCGTAAAAGAATGGCAGGTTCTGCAGAACAAGATGATAATTATGACCAGCAGAACGAGATTCTGCAAATGCGTGTCTGTAGTGAGGCTGACATTTTCTTTCCAGCCGAAACCTGGTTTGAGGTCCTAGGGTGCCGTCGGCGACAGTTACCAGGCGGAGCCAATGTGAAGATGCGCTTGAGTCGGCGAGCCATTCTGCTGGCTCTAGACGTCTCTATTCATCACGCCGTCGAGAAGCACCATCCCACCGGGACCGACCCAAATATTGGTCGGTAACCAGAAGCAGACTTTTGTTGAAGCGATCAGGCATTGGTTTGCAGTTGCCACGGATTCTCGTCCTAGCGTAACGCATGGTCACTATGTTTTTAGCGCATAATAACTCGCTCGCTGCCACTCTGTTGCGTACAGGTCATGATCATATAAAACTCAGCACGGTCGGGAAGACCATACATCACCCCGACGCAGGCGCCACACCAAAGAGGAGTCTCCTAAGGTGGCAACTGAACAATTAATTTACACTGAAAAAGTTCCCTCTTACTAGATGCGAATCCACATGACCTCCGATGAACCACCGAGTCCTGCGCCTTTCCAAGCGAACTACCAGTTAGACCGAAGCTAAGCTGGTTGGGACGGGAAGGGTCGGAGTGTCCTCACTGGCTACCGCAGTGTTGGGGCGCTGCCCACGTAGTCAGAAGACTCCAGTTCAAATCCCAGCAAATCCGTAGAGAAATTTCAGCTTGTGGAGCGTACATGACTGAGAGTTATACACCATGCAGTCTTTCCTATGACTCGATAACAGACGACGCCGGCCGCATAATCAGCTGGCGGGCACGTTGCGCACATACTAATACAACAAACGAGGACGACAGAACGAACAATAATTTCCCCGTGACGTCCTCATTGGCTCTCCTTCGCGAGAGATGCGCGCATGTTATGCAGCACGACATGCGCGCATGTTTTGCTGCACGACACGCGCGCATCTTTCGCGCGTCGAGAACGTAGCTCGATTCGTGAGTTAGTTAACGCTCTGCCGGTTCCGGCACGCCTGGATCCCCCCCTCGCCGAAAGTAGGCAAACGTCTAGATATGTGCGCTCTTCGCTGCTGAGGTATGCAAACAAAATAGCGGAAAGCAGCTTCAGCGAAATGTGGTGGCAAGGTACCGTACAAGCTGGAATGTACCAGAGGCGCAGTGCATTCCTCTCCAGCTGTTCTGTGGATGATGGAGCGAGAAACAGCCGGCAGAGATTAGGTGTCTCACGCATCCATTGATACCTGCAGTGTACCACGAGAGCGAGAAAAAACGTGGGGTCATCGAATTCAGCTTTCTTTCATGATGTCTAGCAGCTATTGCGTCAAATGTTTCATTCAAGGTGTTAAATGCGTAACATAGAAGGCAGTTGAGTGAGGCCTAACAGTTCATCAAACCAATCACCTCGAGTTCAGTCATTTCATTTCCTAGTAAAAGGAGGCGTCGCTGTTATGAGCTTTCGTGGTATGGAGACGTAAAACACACAATAAGCTAAGAATTTCTTGAGTTATAACTTTAAAAGTAACGTATTTTCAACATACAGGATGCTAAAATGAATGACGTAAAGCATTGCCAACCCATGCAACTGTCAGGCCTAAACCCACATGCAGCGTAGTCATTTTCAACGCCACCGCATTCTGGCGCTATTGTCCTCTCCAACTCGTTTGTCTGGTTCCCTCAGCACGTTCACTCATGATACTCAGTAGTTGCATCCACCGTCCGGTGGCAATTATTTGGAACTTACACTTCCCTTCCGTCCGCTAGATGGCAGGGAACGCCGTTTTTTCAGCCCGCAAAACGGATTCCATTAAATTGCTGACGGCTCGACTACACATCATCCGCAATTGATTATGGAATCCGACGTCAAAAAAGATCTAGCCATGCCTGCCATTGACAGCGCTTACAAAACTTAATGCCTCGCGCCAAAGTCATGTATGGCACAACAGACAACCAGGAGCGGTACCTCGCGCATTAGCCCAGCCCTCCACAGTGGCATGTCCCGCTGGCAGATTCAGTTCATGATAATGTCGCATTCATTGCAAAAAAAATATATTTGTATTGCACTTCACTTTCATGTCAAAGAGGCACAGGGAAAAAATATGGCTGTTCTAACCCTATACGCGGCAGCAATCCAGTTCAAAACACCATGACCTACCGATTTGAAATCAGACGATCTACCGATTTGAGCATGGCAGACCCCTCACAGGTCGCGTTATACCTGAAAACGTGAGTATCAACAACGTGAGATCTTGTATTGGGCATTACCGAATAAAACGATACGACTAGCCTCGATTACACCGCTTCTTGCGAGGGACGTCGGCAACGCCGGCTACATCACCCTTCGGATCACGGAGCCGGTAACAACTGGCAACACCAGGCAGAAGAACGGCCGCAAACGCCAACCAAGTATAATGCATACGATTGTCAGGAACACGCCAACATAGGAACTTGCACCACTACAGCGGCGGACGCCCCAGGTGCCTCGAGACCAGTCTGTAAAACCGCGTGCTCTCAGCCCAGCCGTGAGACCCACCGGCCGGGCCCTGCCCTGACCACCTGTCCGGCCCCGCCGCACCGTCAGCCAGTGCTTGTGGCGCGCTCTATCCGGCCCGACATACCCTGAAGCGTGTCGCGCAGCCGCTCTGTCAGCAGCTGCTGCAGCCGCGCCAGCCGCGCGCAGCCGTCTAGCAGCGGCTCGCGCGCGACGTCCGCTTCCAGCCGTCGCTGCAGCTCGGCCAGCTGCTCCTCGGCAGCGGGCGGCTCGTGCGGCGGTGGCGCGGCGCCCAGTCGGCTCAGCGCCGACAGCAGCGCCGCCGCCAGCTGCAGCTGCACGCCACAGCCGTCCTGCAGCTGGCCCAGCTGGCGGCGCTCCTCCACCAGCAGGGTCTCGGTGAGCGCGCGCAGCTGGTGCTCTTGGCTGACACTCCAGTCGCTGCTCTGCTGGCGGCCGGCCGCCTCGCGCAGCCTGCGCTCCGTCTCCTCGCTGGCGCGCGCCACGCGGTCAGCGTACGCGCGCTCCGGGCCAGGAGTGAGCGGCGCGTTACGATGCCAGCGTGCGATCGCGCTAGTCATCTTGCGGCGCGGCCCGAGCAGCGTGATGCCCGCCTCCTTCAAGTCCTCGTCCGTCATCACCAGGAACACCTGCAGGTCCACCTCCTGCCGCTCCAGCATCGGCTGGTACTTCTGCAGACCGATGGCGGAGAGCAGCGCGGCCAGGTCGGCCGGCTGCGGCGAGGCCTGGCGCGGCGGCGGCGGCTGCGGCGCGTCGCGCCGCAGCGCCGAGAACGCCGCCGGCCCGTCACTCAGCTGCGGCGTCGGCGTCGGCGGCTCGCTGGCGTCGTACTCTGCCAGCAGCTGGCTTACGCGCTCGTGACCGCCGGCGTCGGCCAGCTCGCGCGCCGAGGCGCCGCTGGGCAGGCGCAGCGCCAGGTTGGCTCCGTGCCGCACCAGCGCGAACACGATCAGCTCGTGGCCGGCGGCGGCGGCCAGCAGCAGCGGCGTGTAGCCGCGCTGCCGGTCCAGAGCGTTCGGGTTGGCGCCCTCCGAGAGCAGCAGCTCGACGGTGGAGCGCAGGCCGGCGTTCGTCGCGTGGTGCAGCGGCGTCCAGTCACGGGCGTCGCGGCACTCGATGTCCACGCGGCGGCCGAGCAGCGTCAGGAGCACGTCGTCGTGGCCGCGGCAGGCGGTGAGCGCCAGCGGCGTCTGGCCACGCCGGTTCTGCGCCGCCGGCTCGGCGCCAGAAGCCAGCAGCGTGTGCACCACGGCCGCGTGCCCGTAGTAGCAGGCGTACATGAGCGGCGTCCAGCCGGCGCGGTTGGCGCGGTCCAGGTCGGCGCGGCAGCGGCGCGCCGTCTGCAGCACCACAGCCGAGTCGCCCAGGCTGGCGGCCGTGTGACAATCGAGTGGCGGCCCCGGCTCCAGCGCCAGTCGGCTCATCCGCTCGTGCGTCGAGTGTGTGAATACGTCGTCACAGTACTCGTCCATGGCTGGGTGGTTAATGGGGTGGCAGTCACTGCTGGTGACAGACTTGCAGGCAGACCTAGTTGGTGACTGCAGGGATACAAAATTAATGTGATTGATTTTGCTGCATGCATATTAGAAACTGCAATAAACACCATTGCATGCTATGATGCGTTTGATAACATAATAGGGACAATGGGAAACATAAATTATTCCAATTTTGGTAGGCAGCAGAGTAGCATAAATACTAACACAGCCAAAAGTGAACATTTTAGAGACTCAGATCAGGTTCAGGATGAGAACAATATATGAAAGACACAGGATATTCTATCAAATGGAGAATGATATCTGAGCTTTGACAATACATTCAAATCTAACAATTAGCATTAACAGGCATCACACTGACTACCAGGGTATAACATACCGAGGCCAGATGCCACAATGCACAGTTTAAAAAACAAGCCAAACATGTCCAGAGAAGCACTGCTGCAAAAATTTAACTCATGTAAACATAGTATAAATCTGAGCACTCTGCATTGGTGGCAGGGCACAACCAATTTCAGCACAAAGAAAGCCAATGTGCCGACAATGAAAGATGTTGCAAAGGTAAAATCAGGCAAAACTACTTGAAAACATTTTTATCCTGGCCTGAGTTTGGCTCATCCAAGCTGATATGAAGAAAGAACACCAATGTGACTTAGGCATACGCTATCTCCCAAAATTACGAGCTTTGACATCACACGATGAGTACTCACATAGCTTCCCACACTAGATCTCCATTAAAACTCGCAAAGTCCCGCGGTAATCAAATTGTATCAAAGTTCCTACACTCTGCAATATACTAACAACTCAAGGTAAAACCGCGAAGGAAATGCGGTGCACACAGGGCCGTGTGATAGGTGCACAGATCGTGGTTGAGGATGCGGTGCACAAAACTGCGATCAAGGCCGTATAGGGGGGTGGGATTGTCCGGCGACTTTAGTGCCCAATCCGCTCAGCTTTGCATGACGTCACTGAAACATTTTCCTCAGCCTTGGCGTCGTATTCAACTCGTCCCCAGGGGCGGATTCGGAAGGGCGGGGGGGGGGGGGGGCGGGGGGCCATGGCCCCCTCCTTGGGCTCCAAAGGGGCCCACTGGCTCCGAGGAGGCCCATAGCCGGCCGAACAGGTGCAGTTTTTTAAACACAAAACGTAACAAAACTGGGTATCTGGACTGCTAGGCGATCAAGAACAGCTATACGCAAAAGTGAAGGGCCTGTGAGAAGTAAAAAAATTAATGACTGAAAAAGTTGTGTACTGAAAATTTTAAGCCGCATTACGCTGTCTAGAAACTCCATGCTGTTTCCGGGGGACCCATATGCCCACATGCAGGATAATTACGACCGTCAAGGAGCATTGCACGTTGCCCTTCATGTCTTTGCATTTGCTTGGAGGACCCTGCGATAGTGTTGGGGCCCTTCTTGTCAGCGTGCCGGGGCACTCTTGTCAATCATGGGCCTTTCCACGGATTCTTTCCATTTACCAGAAAGGCTCTATGACCATATCTTAACCTGCCGGGGTATTCTCGGTTGCTCAGCGGCCCTTCACGTGGGTCTCGGTTCACCTGCCGACACACTTGTGATATGCTCATGGACCCTCTGCATTGGTCTAGGGCATTTACAATTCTCTGTCTCTTGCTTAGGGCACTACACTCATGTCGGGGGCCCATCTGATGGCCTGCTTGGGCACACTCAGTCGTTAGGGGACCCTCCACACTGGGGTCTTGGGTACTTATTTTCTGAATGGGGCGGCTACGTTCGTGTGGGGGTTTATCTGGTAACCTGCTCGGGCATATTCGATCGTTCGAGGGCCCTCTACATTGGGCCTTGGGCACGTGCTATTTGAATGGGGCCCTACGCACTTGCCGGGCGCCCCCTCTATTCGCCTCCTCGGCCACACTGGATTGCTCGGGGGGGGGGGGGCACATTGATTCTTGCTCCTGCTCTGTTCTCATCGGAGTCCTCTGATGGTCTGTTCCGGTACACTTCATTTTTCGGGGGCCCTCCGCACCGGGTTTTGGATACTCCTTATTTGAAGGAGGGCATTACACTCCTGTCGGGCCCTTTCTGATAAGATGCTCGGGCCCATTCGATCGTGGAGGACCTCTACATCTGCTTTGAGTACTTCCTTTTTGGATGGAGGGCCCCCTGGTTTTTTTTGGGGGGGGAGAGGGCAGTAGCTGTTATTTGTAGGGCACTATCTGTTAACCTGCTCTGGCGCACTCGATTTTCCGAGGCTCTCTACATCGTGTCTTGGGTGCTTCCTTTCTGAATGGAGCAAACTATGCACTTTTCGAGGACCTCATCTGTTCGCCGCTTCGGCCACATTGGATTGTTCAGAGGCCCTATATATTGGGTCCTGGTGTTTGAATTTAGGGCTGTTCACTCCTGTTTGGGCCACCTAATAATCTGCTTGGGTATACTCCATCTTTCGGGCCCTCAGCACTGTGTTTTGGGTACTTCTTATTTGAGTGGAGTTTTCAGGTTTTCTTTAGTGGAGATTTGAGTATTCTTCTTCGCTCTTGGGCCTTCTCTGGTAAGCTGCTCGGGCACATCCCATTCTTCTGGAGTCATTTACATGGCGTCTTCGGAGCTTCCCATTCGAATGGAAGACCCTACGCTCTTGTTGGGAGTCCTATTGTTAATCTGCTCTGACGCATTGGATCATTTGGGGTTCTCTGCATTGGATCTTGAATGCTTCCTTTTGGAATGGAAGCCCCTACGGTGTTGCTGGGAGCCTTATTTGTCAACCTGCTCGGGCACACTTGATCATTCAGGGTCTTGGGCACTTCCTATTTGAATGGAGGGCCCCACGCTATTGACGGGCCCCCATATGCCAACCCGCTCGGGCGCGCTCAATCGTTCGGAGTCCTACACATTGCGTCGTGAGTATTTATTATTTGACTGGATGGCCCTGTGTTCTTGGCGGGCCCTATATATTCAGCTCCTCGGGCCGGTGGTGGATGCAGAGGGGGGGGGGGGGGAGGGGCACAGGACCATGCCCCATGGACCATGCCGAGTGGACCTAAAGGCTCCAAAGGGGCCATAACCAGCCGGACGGACGCAGTTTTTTATAACAAAGACACAATAGAATTGGGTGCCTTTGGGCCTACAGACAACCAACAATCATTGTTAGCAAAAGTAAATAGCTTATAAGTAAACGGAGCTCATTCTTCTCTGATTGAGGAACGTTGCTTGGGATAAATTTTGGGGCTCTTAACGCTGCTTAGAGTCATTACGCTGTTGGTTGCCTGGCGCTATGTGTCCACTTGCCTGGTCAATCTGACCACCAAGGAGCTTTCCACGTTGCCCTTGAACTCTTTCTCGCAGGGCATTTTCTCATGGGGCCTAACGTGCTGTTGGGACGCTATCTGCCTCCATGCCCGAATACTGTTGATGGATCAGGCTCCCCTTCACGGATTCTTCCCATTCGCCCGAAACGCTCTACACACTTTTTCCGGGGTCCCATATGCCAGGGTACACTCGGTTACTCAGGGGCCCTTCATATAAGTCTCGGGTTCTTTCCAATTGCTTGGAAGGCCTTATGCTGTTGCTAGGGGTCTTATGACGTAAGACACGGGGACACTCGATGCTAAGACACCTATTGAGGCTCGTGTTGTTAACCTGTTCACTCCTATTGAGGCTCGTGTTGTTAACCTGCCCGTGCATTCTTGATCGCACCGGGGTATTAATTCATGGCCTCCGATAAATCCCCTTTGCTCGGAGGGTCCTGTGTTATGGGCGGGGCCTTATATGTCAGCCAGCCGGGGCACCACCGATCGTTTAGGGGCCCACCACGTTAGTCTTGGATTCTTTTTGCTTGCCCTGAGAGCCCTATTATTGTTGATGAGAGCCCCTTTATTGGCCTCCCGCAGCACCCATGATCGCTCAGGTCCCGTCCCTATTGGCCTTGGCGCCTTCGCCTTAGAGCAGCAGTCGAATATCAGTTGATGTGTTATTACGCGCGATTGCCGAACGTAATTTTACATGCCGCCGACGTCGTATGTGTCATTTCCATTGGCTTTTGAGTATGTGACACTTATACTAGTACATCACGTTCTTAATATATTTTGAATGCTTGGATATGTTGTACTCCTTTATGACAAAGGAAAAATCATGCATCAATTAGCTATCAGCTGATAGGTCCGTGAAGTTAACGATTTATTCAGCGATCTTTTCAGCGACGAGTTCTGATTTCCCTGAAAAATAGTCACAAGGTCAATT